ATCCCTAAAAAAGATTTTAATTGAGCCTGTTGACATACTGACAGAAGACATTTAAAATTATTTTTTGTATCCTTGTCCTTCATTTATATGGACAATCAAGAATTACGTCTTTTGGATGATTAAGTTCATGCTTTGTATTATAATAGTCTATATTTAAAGAACACAAAGGACATAGATATTTGGTCTGACTGTATATCTGATAGGCTTGGGATTCCATTTACTTGAATTCTATTATTTTCAAAATTTCTGTGTCAATAACTGCCTAGCTGTCCAGGGATTGTGAGTTTATGAATACAAATGGCCTTCTGATTTTTATAAAACAAAAACTAGCTCTTCTCTGGCAGGCAAAATGTTTCCACTGAAGTGATCTCCTTTGCTCACTTTAAACACTCACAAAAACAAAGATTTGATTTTTCTAAATGTTTTGTCTATGCAACATCTTTAACACCTTAATTGATTTGAAATGATCTTGGCCTTGTACAATATGCTCACTAAACGGTTAGGTTTTTCTTTTTCCTTTGAACCACTGTAAGCATTTTATAGCACCTGGTTCTTTGAAAAACAGAACCCACACCATACCTACGAGTTGGCATACAGCCAAGAAAGTCCTTTTTTGTGTGTGTGTGTGTGTTTGTGGTGAATCATTCATAGCCTGTAAGATCTATCAAAATAGCTTTGTTTGAAAACCTTGTTTTTCTTATCTTTTTTTCTGATGACTCACATTTCAGTGCTTTCATGTCTAGATTCTCTTTTCTTTCTTGTTTCTCATCATGTTCATTCAGAAGATGTTCTTTCACTAGTTCCAAAATTTGTATTTCTATATTCTGTCAGTTTTCATCTTGAAACATACACACAGCAATATGCTCTGAATCATAAAATTCTGCATTAAATCCCAACACTTAAAAAAACCCATATTCTCAATATAGGTTTACCTGCACTTCTCTTGCCATTTTTATTTAGTACAAATTTATGAATGTTTTAAATTCATTGGCACTTATGAAACTTGAAATTTTATTTTAATGTTAGGAAGATTTTTGGCTGCAAAAAACATAAAAACTAATGCTAAGTGGTTTTAATGCCACATGGATGAATATGAAAGTGTAGTGGTTCAGGGTTAGTTGAATTAGTAGTTCAATAATGGCTTCAAGGACTCAGGTTCTTCCCATTTTTCTTTTCTGCAATCTTTTAAATCAGTTTTATTGAGGCATAATTTATAAATAATCAATTTTAAGTGTACAGAGGAGTTTTGACAAACGTATACTCATATAACCACTACTACAATCAAGAAATTGAGCATTTACAACATTCCAAAAACTTCCATCAGCCCCTTTGCAGTCAATCCCATCTCCTCACACAATCTCTGGCAATTTCAAATAAATGGAATTGTATAGTATGCACTTCTTTGTGTTTGAATTCAAATAAAATCTTAAGCCCCTTAGTTGACTGAATGGCCTTCCACTTGGCCAAGAGGACTCCAGGAAAACCTTAAAGCTAAGTTGCTGGCCATGAAGAGAAGGGACGTCAAATGCATCTTATCATGTCCCCTTCCTTTTGGAGTTACTCTTTGTTACAATAAGATATTAAATCGTTAACAGCCTAAACCCATGGAAGGTAAAGCTTAAAGCATAGCTGCAGGCCATTAATTTACTTAAGAGATGACTTGAGTTTTGGTAAATGTCCAGTGGCTTGTCTCTGATTAATAGACATCCTTGTCTTAAGTTAAAACATTCTAAGCCTTTAGATAAAGCTTCATTTCTTTAACCAATTACAAATCAAAGAATCTTTAAACCCACCTGTAATCTGTAGCCTGTAACCCCGGGCTTCAAGATGTCCCACCTTTTGGGGCCAAACCAATGTATGCCTTCCCCACATTGACTTTTGATCCTATGTTTAATTTCTGCCTCCATGAATATATAAAACCAAACTGTGACCCAACTACCATGGGCAAATTTTCTCAGAACCTCTTGAAAACATGTGCTCTGGGCCATGATCCAGGTTGTTGCTTGTCTTGGTAGTTTGCTCCTTTTTATTACTGAGTAATATTACATTATATAGGTGATATATTGTAATTTATCTATCTATTCATCAATTGATGGAAATTTGTTTCCGGATTTTGGCTATTATGTATGAAGCTGCTCTAAACATTCACATAGAAGTTTTTGTGTAGATATAGGTTTACATTTCTCTTGAGTAAATACCTAGTAACATGAATGCTGGGTCGTATATTAATTAATATGTTTAACGTAATAAGAAACTGCCAAACTGTTTTCAAGAGTGGCTGTACTATCACCAGCAATATAAGAGAGTTCCAGTTGCTCCACATCCTTGCTAACACTTGGTATCTTAATAGTGTTTTTTGAAGAGCAAACATTTTTAATTTTGATGAAGTCAATTATCAATTTCTTCTTTTAGGTTTCCAGCTTTTACTGTTATTATTTTTGGACTTTCTAAGTGCACAACTTAAAACATCACAAAGACTTTCTCCTAGATTTTCATCCAAAAGTTTTATAGTTTTAGCTCTTATATTTAGGTCTATGAATTAATTCCAAGTTAATTTTTATGTGGGGTGTGAGTTGGGGGTTAGGGTTTTTCTTCCTTCCTTTCTTTCCTTTTTGCATATATGGGTATCTAAGTGTTCTGACATCACCTGTTGAGTGTTCTGCCACTCCTGGTGTATTAGGTTTGTGCTTTTCCCCACCCACGTATCACAAGATGACTGTAGCCACTCTAGGCACCACATCCAGAAGAATATCCTGGACAGGCTCTCTTTCTAGAAAGTGTTGAGAAAACTTTTTTACCCCTTACTAACTAGACTTGACAAAGGTTTACTGTTTGCTGTCTGAACTAATCACTGGACATGGGAATGGGGCCACCATGATTCATTTATTCATTCAACAAGGAAATGGTATGTTTTCTATATTCTTTCTAGGGGTTGGGGATACAGTAGTGACTAAAATAGGCAAAAATGTTGCCTGACTTCATGAAGCATACAATTTACTGTGGAGGACTATCTGTCTATTGTCACAATAAATATGTAAACTATATAGTACATTGCTGTATATTAGTGAGAAATAAAGGAAAAGGGCTATGAAGTATTGTGGGTGGGCTGAAATTTTAGATAGGGTGGTTAGGAAAGGTGTCACAGTTGACTTTTGAATAAAGACCTGAAGAAAATGATGGAGTAGGCCATATAGATACCAGATTGAAGAGTGGTCCAAGCAGAAGGAAAAGTGCAAAGGGCAATTTTGGCCATACTTGATGATGTCTGGGGACATTTTGGTTGTCGTAACTTGGGGGAAAAGGGAGTGCTGGGAAAGCCAGCGTTGCTGCTATATATCCTACAATGTGCGGGACAGCCTACGTCTCCACCTTCCTCCTACTCCAACAAGAAATTATCCGATCTGAACGGCAACGGTGCCCAGGTTGAGAAATGCTCTTTTAAGTCATAGTAAAGACTGGCGTATACTGAGTAAATTAAAATGACACGGAAGTATTGTCACCTCAGAAATTAAGCTTTTAAGAGGATCACTTGGCTCTTTGTTGTGAGTAGACTAAAATGGTAAAAAGGGTGGAAAACAAGTATAGCATTTAGGAGGGTATCCAGACAAGAAAATATGATTTGAACCAGGATGAACCCATTAGGGGTGGTAAGTGGTAGATTGTGGATATATTTTGAAGGTTGAGCTAAAAGGATTTACTGACATACTGCATATGTACATGTGAAGGAGAGGAACCAAGTATGAGTTATATGCTGTGGCTGGTGCTGGAGCTGTATCTTTCAAAGAAAGGAGTCTGGATAAGTGGTGGAAATCTGAACACATTTGGAATGGGGGAAAGACTATGCATGTGGTTATTAGGACAGGTAATCAACTGTATCTGTTACATATATATCTTACGGAAGTAAGAATGGACATTGTTGGATTCTTGAATGACTACTTTAAAGGGCATAATTATTCTAAAGACTAAGTTTCTTTGAAAATGTTTTTCTATCCACCACATTGTGTTTTAAGAAACATCTTCTCATGTCATCTTTCATTTTGGTGAGAGTTTGATAGATGTGGGAAGTCCCAATTCCTTATCCCATCAAGGTTATTAAAGGTCTTCAATTTTCCTTTCAGTATTTGCATCCCAAGCAATTGTTGACTTCTCCTGTGTACAGTGTTGATGTGTTGTTTAATAGTTGTTTTCTAAGCATTTTTGTCTACTATAAAATATTGTAAGCTCTCACTGAGTCCTTATGTGTTAAGAAAACTACTTAATATACTACTCTCACTTGTCAAAATAAACTTATAGCCTATAAACTGGGGTTATTTCCATTTCACAGACAAAAATACTGACGTTTAGTAAAGTAATTTCATTTATTCAAGATGATTCAACTAGTAAATGGCAGAGCTACGTCCTGAGCCAATATGCCTTTGTGGACTTAAACGCTGTTGTAGGTCCTCTTACTCGACCTTCACGTTCCAGGGGGCTTGGTTAGTAAGATGAGTTGCTTGGTGAGAGTTCAATAAGGACATGCTGATTGAGTGGGAAGCTCTTGGTACTCAGGTCACGGTACCGGAGACCTAAAATTCTTCCTATACAAATGCACGTCGTGGTTATTTCACAGCATACCGATCTGATGGCTCATCTTCCAGATTGTGGCGGGAGACGCTGGATGGCAACAATACAGCTCCCATTCCCGATTTAGCCCTGCCACTCTCTCTTCTTGACCTGGGCGTCTCCAGGGCGTGGACAGGCCGCTGGAAGGGCACAGCTGGCAGTGGCCTGTCCGAGGCGCCGCGGGCTGTGGGCCTGGCGTCTGCACCTGGAGCGAGGCGGCGCGGGACTCGCGCTCCGGCGCTGCGCAGCCCGGCTGGAGAGAGGTCAGGTTGGCGCTTTCCGAGGGCCGGCTCGGGCGCCGGGCCCGCCTCCCCTCGGGATTGGAGGCCCGCGGGCCCCGCCCGGCCCAGCGAGGCCGGCAGGAGGCGGCGCGCGCGGCGGGACGGCGGGACGGCGGGAGAGCCGAGACCAGGTCAGTCATCTCCGGCTCAGGAGTTCCAGGGGTCGGGCCGGGACCCCGGCACGTCCGCGGCCTGCTCTGCGCCTGCTGTGCCCGCGCCCCAGGTCCGGGAAGGACTGCCGTCGGAGTGAGACGCCGCGGCCTCCTGGGCGGGGTCGTTGCTTCAGTGGTTAGTTCCTGCCTTTTTCCTAACTCGGAGTGAGAACCTGGCGCCACCTTCAACTCGCGTTTGCTAAAAGTGGGGTTGGAGGAGTTAGGCGGAAAGGAGTCGAGTTTCTGTTTTTGGCGGTGCAGAGAGAACTCGAGGCGGAAGTTAGTCTCCAGACGCTAACGGGCTTCCGGGTGGTTGGGGAGGGACCTGGCCTGGGGTCCTGGGGTTCTGGGGCCGCTGAGGAGGGGCCGCGCTACTTTCGTTTCCTCCCCCGGTGTCAGTGACTGTAGTCGGCCCGGAGCCCAGCTCTGACTCATGTTACGGCTCCTGGGTACCGGTCGTCGCTGGAAACTCGTGTTGAGCACTTGATCATAGCTCCGGGAAGCTACCCAGAAGCAGCAGGGACGCCCCGGAGAGGAAGCTGCCCCCAGGATGTGCACTTCTTACCAGGGTCTCCTTTCAGATCTTAAGCGCTGATGCCGCTGACTTGCCCTCAAACTGTGTTTTCTTTATAATTATTTAGGATTTATGCTCTACTCAATAGTTGTTTTTCAAAGATTTTAAGTTTTAAATCAGCAAATGGATAATGGGCATCGGTATACGTAATGTATTGATCGAGGGAAACCTCCATAAAAACTTTTTACTTGATGATAAAACTGCTTAGTCATGGTTCACCATCCAAATTCTTGGCTTCCCTTGTGTTCCTGTGGGAGGAAGACAGGTGAATTTTGGTGAGGTTATAGGCTGTGTTCCTTCACTCCACCTGGGGCGTTGCTATTGTTAAGTAAGAGCAGGGCATTGGATTAAGTAGGTGAAGGAGGGAAAAACCTATTCAAGGAAAAATGGATACTTTCTCATATGGAAGATGGGAAGTTTATGTGAAGAAAACTTTACATTTGTGTATATATATTTATAATTAACTTTCATATCAAAAGCCCTCATCAACTAAAAAAACATTCTTTATAAATACTTAGAAGATCACCGTTACCTTCACATTTAAGTTAGTTTCAGGCATATATGCTGCTATATTTTTTTCCCTAAGAAATTTTCTTCAATTTAAAATCTCCCATTATGATATTTGCTAAACTGTGTACAGTTATAATTAATTGATGAAAATTGTATGGCTATACCACAGAGATTTTGCTTTCGTTGTTGGTAGTATAGCAGTAATCTCTGAGGCAGGGCTATTTTCACTTTGATGAAGTGAGGAAGAGAAAGGGTAAGAAGACAAGAAGCTAAGAGAGTAGTCTGCTAGCCCTAGAACTACTCAGTGACCTACTACTACTGCTACTACTACTACAGTGACCTACTACTCCAGTATTTAGTATTCTACTAAATGATATATCCATGAAAATCCTTTGATCATTCAACAAATGTTTACTGAGTACCTACTCTAGGTCAGATGCTTTGCTTGGTAGCGATGTTGTATAAATACATTGCTATTGTCTGTATCTTCGCAATATAAAACTATTTATTCCTAGTAACTGAAGACCTTTTCATCTTTAACACTTAACAGTCTCACCTAAAGGACTATTTCCATGTATATGAAATTTATTTTATTTTTATCATTGGAAATTAATCCCTTGTTTCTTAAGGTGTCTTCTGTACTGTTAATATGTATTATAGATTCTCTAAATGAATTTTGGAAATGTTGGGTTAAATGAAATTAAACAGATTGGTTTGTTTTTGTTTTTTAATATAAGTACCTCTTAGATTTCAATATTGTATGTGAATTTCTAATTTGAATATAGTATATGGCTTTCCCATATTGAATTGACTGTAGAATCTTAATTTCTGGGAACCTGGGAAAGTTCCCATAGAAGACATTTTGGGAAATGTAGTTTAAGGAGTTTTTTTGTTTGTTTTTATTTTTACCCATTTATCTCACCCATCCTGCCAACAGAAGTGATGCCACCAAGAAGAAATGAGAAATACAAACTTCCTGTTCCACTTCCAGAAGGCAAGGTTCTGGATGACATGGAAGGCAAACAGTGGGTACTGGGCAAAATGATTGGCTCTGGTGGATTTGGATTGATATACTTAGGTAATGTATAAGTGTAAATTATCAAATATTATATATGTGGCTGTTACTGTGATTACTTAATAATTTAAAAAATTTAAAAATATAGAATTCATAAATGTACTTTATTAGAAATCATGAGTGTACTTTATTAAGTAGTAATATGAAGATAGGTAACGTTTAGTACAATGTCTAGGTTCATGACATGACTGACTTACTCCTTGTTGTCCATGTTTTTCTGAATAACCCTTAGAAGTCTTTTCAGAGCATAATTATACAATCAGCCAGAGAGAACACTAATGTTCTTTTTTTGAGAGCTTGTCTTCTTGGAAACATGCTTTTTACAGCTCAGAAACCACAACTGTATAAATACAAACACTTTCTGTTTGTGAATCTTAATCATTAATATTTAGGTAATACAATGGTCTAGTCATTTCTTAACTGAGCTCCACTGGAGAATTAATAGATAAGGCATCTATTGCATAGAATGAATTAATTTCTCTCTTGTGTATCTAAAGTGGTACTAATTATGTACCATCCTTGGGATAATTGAGAAGGTAGGCACTCAAATTATTTTCTGTGTTCTGTGGTACAGCTAAGGAATCTTGGCTGGCTATGCTTTTACACTGCATTTAAACGTCTAAAAATTACATTGAATTTAAATAAATCCTTCAGGGCTATCTTAAATCCATAGTGAAATAAGGAGGGAATACCCATTATAAGACTGGATTTGGTGAATAAAATAAGATAAATATTAGTGATTTTTTAAAAATACCCTCAATGATAAGTTCTCCTAAATGTATTACATCATATTACATTTGTTTCTATAGGAGTTTAAGAAGTTGATAAAAGACCTTTGAAGGAATCTTGAATTCCTCATCAAATATTTCCAAACAAATGTTTCATGGATCATGAAGGAAAAAGATCCCCTTCTGATAAAATTAAGACTGTAGTTTAGAATGACTGGATGAAATTTGGTTAATAAGCAGCTGCTTATTAATTACCTCAGTATCTAATCTAGTTGGAAAGACAAGATCAGTGCAAAAAAAATTTATGGGCTAAGCAAAGGATAGTTTCCTCATTTAAAGGATTCGAACTTGTTTGCAAAATGCTGATTCTAAATGCTAGATTGAGCATACAGGCGGCACTGTACAACAGGAATGTCATGTAAGCCGCATATGTAATTTAAAAGTTTCTAGGAGCTACATTAAAATATGTTAAACAGGTGAAATTTAGTAATATATATTATTTAATCCAATATATCCAAAATAAAATTCCAGTATGTTAACATGAAAAAATAAATATTTTACTTTTTCAGGGAAGTAAAAATCCAGGGTATATCTAGTCTCAAGGGCTCAGTAACCACTTGTGGCTAGTGGCTACCACATCAGATAGTGCAGATGAAGACCATGTGAGTACCTGGAATCTACAGAGAGCAGAATTCCCTGTCGAATAAGTGTTGTTTGAAAATTGGAATTAGTGAATTCTCTTTTATAGCAAAGAGTTAAGATCTCTAGTATACTGTCTTGACTCAAGATTAGAGATATGGACTTGAATAAATTATTTCTTATGTGTCTGTGCTATACTCTTAGATCCCACAGCTTATCACTTACACTTTTATTTTCCTAATGTTTGAATTAGTTGAATAATATCAAAGAATTAGAGGTAAACATTGATTGTAATCTTATCTTTTTTGTCTTTTAAAAATGTAAATGTTATCTGTATGAATATGTATTTAAATTCAAGTGCATGTTTAAGATTAAATAGTATACGTCTATACACATGTATTTATATATGTCTACAGATAGTACTTGCGTGGTTCCTGTTAAGAAAGAGGAATGTATTTGCTCAGGCACGTGACTTATTGTTCATATTTAAATATAGAAAAGTTCTTCTTTCATTGACATTTTTTTAACTTATTTTTTCTCATTACCAAAATACTGTTGTTTTACAACATATTTCAGGGTTTAACGTGTTATACAGTACTCTCTACTATCTGAGTTTTATTTTTATTTATTTATTTGGAGACAAGGTCTCCCTCTGTTGCCCTGGCTAGAGTGCTGTGGCATTATCACAGCTTACTGCAACTGCAAACTCCTGGGCTCAAGTGATCCTCCTGCCTCAGCCTCCCAAGTAGCTGGAACTACAGGCATGTGCCACCATGCCTGGCTAATTTTTCTATTTTTTATAGAGATGGAGTCTCGCTATGTTGCTCAGGCTGTCCTCGAACTCCTGGGCTCAAGCGATCCTCCCACCTCAGCCTCCCAAAGTGCTAGGATTGCAAGCATGAGTCACTGTATCCAGCTCTATCTGATTTTTAGAACCTGGACCCTAGGAAGATCAGTAAGTACATACCATTGAGAAAACATTTTAAGAAATGTTTAGCTATTTTGAGAAAAAAAGGCTCCATACTTCAGAATATGTAATAAAGCTATGTGTTCCAAATGTCATTTTTCCATCAGAAGTGATGCTAATGAATCACAGAATCAGTTTAACTTCATTAAACTTATTTTTTACTATTTTCAAAGCTATATAAGCAAATTCATATGAAATTACATCATGTTTTTGCATTTTATCATGACTCTCATCACTTTCTGTATATAAATAAAGAAAAAAGCAATTAAATTCAAGTTTTCTTTAATACTTTGTGTCCAGCTACATTCTTTTCAAGTATTATTTCCAGATACACTGTTTCGGCAGACACTTTATCAGCAAGTGCTGCCTGAGGCTGAGAAGAAACTAGCTTCTATGTCTAACTCATTGTGCATGTACAGCTGTCCTCTAGCTTTGAGATCAATAGCCAAGGCCTTTCAGTAATCAGAAACTTACAGTAAAGGGATAGGGGCAGAGAAGTTGGTATTTACTCGAGTTGGAGAAATCATGTGCCTGTAGCATTAATAGAAATAGTTATAAGAGAGAAAAGAAAAGTTTGAATACAAGAACAAAGTCAAGGTTCTTTCTTTGTATATGAAAAGAGAGTGGGGGTAAAGAAGGAAGAAAGGAAACTGGTTTAGGGGATGGGAAAAGTTGTTCTCATTTTAGTATCAAATAAGTGAAAAAGTTTCTAAAACTCCAGGGAAGGAGAGAGAACTGAGGGTTTGAATTCTACTTTAATGCTCATTATAACATAGAACCAAGTAAACTAAGGGAGAATTGCATAAATAAGAGCAGGGATTTTGGTGTTAGCCAAATCAGAGTTGAATCCTGACCTGACTAAGCCACTTACAAACTGAGTGACTTTTACCTAGTTACTTAATCCTTTGGATTCTTTGTTTCTATTCTGTATAATTGGGATAATAATAATTATGAGGATTAAATGAGATGGTTTTTTAAAGAACTTGGTAAACACTTAATAAATGTTAATTATTTACTTAGGATTTTCCATTCTAAATATCCAGTGCCACAGTGGATTAGGATGGTGAGAAAGACCTCCATTGGAAGGGTTTTTTAATTATCCTGCCATGGACTCAGGTGGAGTTAGTTACTAATGTGGTAAAACTAAGAACATAGAGAATGTCAGCAGAAGACTTTATGACATTTTACTCATCAACCTGTATCTTTTTCTTCCCTTAAAATTTGCTATAATAGCTGTGATAGATGGTGAAAAGTTCTCATTTAAACTATAATTTATCTGCTTCAGATATGAAAGATAATGGGTTTCAGAAATTATTCAAAATCTAGAAAAACAGAATTATAGTATACACTTAATTAAAGCTACATTCCTTTGAAGGGTGATTATATGAGTAAAAATAAATGTGATTTATCTGTGGAAGTTTTCATTTTTTGAAGTTTGGCATAGTGATGACCATTTAGCATATTTGGAGTGTCAAGACAGAATAGATGTTCAACGGTTATTTGCCTGAGAGATTGAGACTGGGGTTGGAGCACTTTATCGAACAAGTTAGTTTGCTTTGTCCTCTTTCGTGATTATAGATGTCACTCTTAACTCTAGTCTGCAGTCTTACAGATGAGTACCCTTAGTCACAAGGAAAGATGAGTCAAGGAAACTATCATGATTTCATTTAACAATGTACATCTGCTTTATTGATGGTAAATCAATAGCATTATCTTTTATAAAGAATAGCACATTATTGTAACTAAAATTAACTGTGGCAAAGCCTTAAGATTGGATCATTTATTCATGGATAAATGTTTAAACTTCGTCCAAGTGACTGTTAGACATTTTTGGGGACATCCTGTCAGATTATCCTAATTTTGTACTTTTGAAACATGGAATCTTTTGGGGGAGATTTTTAGAAATTATCAAAGGTTAATTCACTTATTGATAAAGCAACATTTCTATTTATGAAGAAATGGGAAGAAAATACTGGTGCATGTATGGTTTTTATTTTTTGTTCAGCTGTAATGGATTGGTTGTTTTTAAGATATGCAGAATAATGTTCACAAGAGCCCAATGATAATGCTAGCAACAAGGTAGAGTATTGGAATACATATTGCTTCATTCACATTGCAGTATTAAATGCTATTTTGGCAATGTTTTATAGAGAGAGCTTTAAGATAAGCAGTTAGTCTTATTTGACACAATGCAACATTATGGTGCCACTACAATTGTTAGTAGGCAATTTTTCAAATGATACTGTGTGGGTGAAAATAAGGGAATAAGTATGGAAATAAGGATAATTTATACTAGAAACTATAGTCTGTGATAAATTAGTTCCCAGATGAAGGTGTAGATAACAGAAAATAACTCAAAAAGAAGGGATCACTTGGGATTTTATAAATTTAGTACACTTGTTGGACCCCTAGACAAGAAGTAAAAGTCCCCAGAAGATGTATTTTAATTTTGTATGTGTTTTAATTTTGAGTTTTAAAAGAGATAGCAGTGCTCATTTACCTATCAGTTAAGAAATCTAAGCTGTTAAGAAGGTTTGGGTTCTTTTATAAAAAGAAAGTTCTTGTGAGGCCTAGCCTTTGCTTGTCTTTTCATTTTTTTTAAATGTGCTCTTTTTAACATATATTATGGTTCTTCATTTGTAACATTTTACTGTCAAACTTTTTTGCCT